GACGTTTCAGAAGAGTTTTACTACCTTCATCATCACGGTCATTCACTATCCTGATGATGGAGGCGGTATGCTCCTCCGAAACATCACCTTATGAAGACGAACTGCTATGAAATGTCAATCAATACATACAAACACGCTCGCGTAGAAAGACGCTGAGTTGCTAAATGTTAAAACAAGTGACTCGCCTTCTCGTCTGATTTCAGCACTGAAGAAACAATTTTATCTACATGCTTGGGCATGATATGCAATCAGTATGCGCCATGTCTGGTTCTGTCTCAGCGAGCCAGTGGGGCCACCAGGTCGCGTTATTATGGGCAACCACCGCCGACTCGTAGAACAAAGAACTTTATTGACTGAGACTCTTATCGAGGGCCCCCAAACCCCACGAGGGATCAGTTGTGATGGGGCCCTCCCCCTTTGAGGAGGAAGGCCCCTTGTGGCACGTGCGGATTTTTCATGGCGCCGCCTCGGGTAATGGCTTATCCGAAACCCCGCCAGGGGTCTGGTTGACTCATCTCAAGGGTCAAGACCGCCTTTTTGTTTTAAGCCATCAACGGCCGTTCGTCAACCCTTGGTTTTTGTTGGTTTTGTGAACATTTCCATAATGGGATAGAGATTCAAAAAACAAAAACTCAAATCTTCGGTGGCCTAATCGCGTTAGAACACAAAATCTTCAGTTCCTTACAACATTTCGTCTCAGAACTTCTGCAAGTACTTCCTCATTATTTAAAAAAATGACGGTAAAAAAATGTTGAATTTAAATCGATTTATGGGTACATATTCTTTAATGACACAGGGCCCACTTTACAGAATTAAGTTTATACACTGGATAAAAGAATAGTACATTAAAACCTATCAATTTTCAACAAAACATGTACGTTTCATTTCTCAGTGCAAGAAAAGAGAAGACACCAAGGAAAATCTAGTCTGACCGTCCGCGTGTTTCATCTTCCGTACCACCACATTAACCCCCTCCCCCCCCCAGACGTGTACTGACATTAAAGGGTACCTGCTGCCTCCATCGCCAGGGCGATAAGCAGATACCTCTGAAACGTCTGTAAACTTCTACCAGACTACACGGAGCAACGACCCAGAAGACAGGAATCTTCATACACGCAGCTGTAAAAACTTGAAATCTCACATGTAATGCGACTTAAGTGAAATACTTAACAGATTGCTAAGCAGAAACAACATTTTGCTCTTTAAATGTCAAAGGTTAAGATTTCGTCACATGAATTCCAAATTTTATGTGATATTTTATCCATTGTTTAGTCAAGTGTTCCATGTCCTGACGATAAGAGTTGTAAGTCGGATTATCGAACATCATCTGGCACGGAGCGAGATTTAGGTCAGGAGGTATACAGATGAAAAAGAAGTCTTCGGTTGTGTACTGAATTTTATAAACAGACGGCATGAGAAATGTCTTCGAAGGAAAGAAAGTGGTGGTGGGAGCTCGGTCCATATATCTCACCCCCGCCAAACGGGCAGAGAAACCTGCTTTTATAACAAGACGTAAATCAGCAACGTAACACTTTCTATCTTGAATTCCTGCAATTCATTCAATATATGGCGACGTTGGAACAATATACGTAAATTCTGACCCGTGCTACTTCTGGTTTCGCGCAAAAAACATTCATGCCCCTCTTTTATGAGTCCATTTACCGGGACCAACGCTGCAGTTTAAAGCTCGCCGACCCGGAATCACGCGTAATTTACAAACAAGTGAACATTTCATGTTCCTTTCTCGTTAATTTCTCCAGACCAAACAATTTACTTCTGCTGTGTCGTTAATTCCTCCAGACCAAACAATTTACTTCTGCTCTTCCTAACATTTCAGCGATTTGGCTTATTTCCAACACAATAAATGTCAGGCCCGCAACTTCGCTTAACGTCCACTCCACTCAGTCCTTGAGAATCTAACAGTCGCTCTCGAAAGTTCAGTACCACCGTCTGTCATTATCCTGAGTTAGACCAATCCAGTTCACTTCGTCATACCATATTCCTTTAAGATCCATTTTAATATCATCCTCCTTTTATACCTTGGTCTTCCAAGCGTTCGCCAAGCCGTCTCGTCCATCTTGAATTCATCAGGAGTCGCCAACATAACAAAAGTGTACTGCCTATAGGTTAGGCTAGTTGAACGTAATATAACATTATAGTTCGGTTGGCAGGCTTTGGGTTCTTTCCTGCACTACCAACCTCACCGACTTTCCAGTCTTACCAATGTTAGAAATGAACGAACATAAATTACTCGCGAGATAAGGAAAGTAAGCCAGCATTAGAATTCCTTGTCAGGAGACTGAACAGCAACATTGAAGCAAGTCTCAAATGTATAAACAATATTAAGTACAGAAATTATCCTGCGAAGCATTAATTGATTTCAAGAAGGTCTCACTCTTTCTTTACAATGATAACGGCACACAAATGACTGTGCTCTTTCCACGCGTAGAGATCCCCCCCCCACTCCGATGCCTCAAGGGTAAAATCCCCCTCTCCCTCTAATCCTGCAGTGGAATTAAAGTCTGCAAAAAGCATTTTAGAATGCAGCCGCCCGGTGCAAAATTCCTATCTGCGTGAGCCATCGCAATGCTATGGCTCAGAGCACAAACGAAAAATAATAATCCTAAAACTATTTTAATGAATGGCTCTCATCCAGTGCTCATTAAAATTTAGAATTTATGATCCAGTATCAATTAATTTCTTCCGGGCAAATAATCCATCACAGCATAGGACGTAGGACCAAGCATGTGTGTTCCTGTAACACAAACCACGCTCATCTCGTAATCAGATATTTTCTGTGACACCTTGTGTTAAACAACGCTATTTCGTCAACACATCGGAAGGGCCCCTGAGGAGTCGAATTCGGTGTCTTGTCGAAGAAGACATATTTAAAAAATTATATTTGACGTATCTTTTCCTCGGTCTTATGCATTGCTTTTGACGGCTAACGGCAGATATCAATCGAGCTAAGAACTTGCTTCGAACAGAGCTGGAAAAGGGGGCTCTGGTTTATGACAGAACTCAACTCATCACTAACTAACCAGATGGCTTACCGAACCCGAAGGTTCATCACCGAATTAACCAAAGCCCTCCACCGGACCCTGTCCTGGGCCAACAAAATCCAATCTCCTTCGACTCTTATCTCCCATAGATCCCGCCTGAGATTATCCTCCCATCTACGTCTAGGTCTCCCCAG